CTGATGGGTGGTGCTGGAGATGGAACCCAGGGTTCTGTGTGGGCTAAACAAACATTTCACCAATTGAGCCCCTGTACCTCACTTTTCATTATTATTTATGTGTGCATTTGTACTTTTTGAAGCTCCAAGACAAATTTTATTGAAGTCTAAAGGAAAAACACTGTGAAGCATCGGGACTCAGCCACTGACGGCAGGAGGGAGAGAGAGAGAGACAGAGAGAGAAACAGAGAGAGAGAGAGAGAGAGAGAGAGAGAGAGAGAGAGGGAGAGAGAGACAGAGAGACAGAGAGACAGAGAGAGAGAGAGAGAGAGAGAGAGAGAGAGAGAGAGAGAGAGAGAGAGAGAGAGAGGGCCTTCTGAGTTAAGCTGGTGCAGAGGTCAGCCACGTGGTAGGCAAGCTGCCACGAGGCAGGAGGGGAGCTTTACAAAAAGAATGAAGCCCTTTTGTTTGGGAAAGCATGCTTAGTCTCTGGCCAGCATCTAAAGGAAAATGACAGAAGAGAAGGGGGAAAAAAGTTTACACACACATCAGCGAGCGGGGCAAGTCCACACAGACCCTCGTGGTAACACTGGGACAACCGCCTGCTTTTCTGTTTTCAAGACAAAGTCTTGCTAGGCAGTTGGCCTCAAACTCAGTGAGATCCTCCTGCCCCTGCCTTATGCCATCTAGGATTACAGGTGTGCACTACCACTCAGGAGGGCTCTGATTACAATAGAAAAATGTCCCAAGAGGATAGAGGCAAGTTATTTGAAACAATTCGACATCAAAATTAACCGTGATACCACCTGGGGATAACTCCATATTAGACAGGTACTGATCGGCGGTAGCAATGGAAACCAGTGAGTGAACAGGGACTGGTGAGTGGGAGAGCCCAATGCCAGCTGGTAAAGGACAGAGCTGGAAAATCCCCACCGGGAAGCCCTTCCAGGAAGAGTGGCCCAGCTTGCAGGATCATCAGTGACATCGACGACATTTACAGAGCAAGCACACAAGCCTGCATCACCAGGCCCGGGACAAGTGAGCACCCTGCAGCCCTGGCATGATGCCTGACGACACGCCATCTCTCCAGAGTGTTCTCCCGCCAAATTCATGATGATGAGAAAACAGGAGATTCGGCCAAGGTGAAGGGCATTCTACAAAATAACCAGGCAGGATCCCAGACATCTCAAAGTCATGAAGATGGGCTGAGTGCGTGGTAAGATCATCAATGCAAAACCAGTTATTACCTCAAAGGGAATGAGAGATGGTTTATTTTGGGGCTAAATATGAGTGGCTATGGCCAGGGACACAGCTTTAGGTTACCATGAATCCCACGTTCCAGTGAGGAAGCAGTTTCATGAAGATTTCATAGTAACAGAACAAGGAAAGTCATAGATCAAGACTTTTCACACACACTGGTGGAGACATTAAGTAGGCAGTTATGGCAAGGCTGAGAAATCTCAGCTATAGGTTCCGGATGCTGGGATGACACTCGTCACCCTTTTGATTGGTGGGAAACAGGTTAAGGTACTTCATTCCAAAAGATTTTTATCTATTACTCAAAGGATGTTGGGTCTAACAGTGGGTGATACGGGGTGGCTATCTAGTAGACAGAACATAGCCCAGGATAAACTGTAATTAGGTTCTGATCCTACAACATTCCAACCTCCCCGAGTCACTGAAGTTCTTTTAAACGGTCAATTAATTAATTGGCCTTTGTGGACATGGTTTCTTCTCAGGAATTCTGATTCACAAGATGAAAGGTGACATGAGGGCTGGGGTTGGGACTCTGTTGGTAGAAGGTTTGCCTAGATGCAAAAGCCCTCAGTTTGGTCCCATAAACCATACCTGTAATCCCAACACTGGGTGTGGGGCACGTGGAGGCAGGAGACCAGAAGTCCAAGGTCCTCTTTCTGGGCAGCTAGTCTAGCCAAATGACTGGACTCCAGGTTCAGTGAGATACCGTGTCAAAAAATAAGGGAGCGCCGGTGAGATGGCTCAGCGGGTAAAGGTGCTTGGCACCAAGTCTGATGACCTGAGTTTAAGTCCCAGAACCCACACAGCGGAAGCAGAGAATTAACTCTGCAGACTGACCTCTGACCCTCACACATGTACCCATAATCATCACACATACACAAAATAAACAAATAAAATGTAATAAACTTTTAAAAATAAGATGGAGAAAGATACCAGCGAGCTCCGGCCTCCACATACATGTGCACCCACACACACACACACACACACACACAAACACATGTACGCATGTGATTTATTGATTTGGGTAACTGTTAGGTTTATATGGGAGGACGTCTTTTTAAAATAAACAGCAGTTAGTATTTCCTATCTGCAGTTTTCAGAGGGGCCCTCTCCATGAGGGAAAATAATAAAGTTAATTACTATTAACATTTGAGTAACCACACGAAATTCTTTGTTTTATTGCAACTTTTCCGTAAGCCTGAAATAACTTCAAAAGTTTGTCAGTGCAGTAAACATGCTCTGGATAACAGCATGCAGCTCGCTCTGGCATCCTCTGGGGGCTTGGGGCTGATTGGCGGGTGGAGCTGTGATCAAAGGAGGTGGAGCTTTGCCAGGTGAGGAGCTGGCTCCTCAGTGAAGGGTGTCCCAGGCTGGGGCACTGAAGTTTTGTCAGGCAGGATGTTCCCCTGAGGACCTTGTGTAGTACAGCTCCAGCCTGGGTCTGGGCGGGGCCTATGGCAGCCAAGCTGCCAGGAGAGCGTGATGTGCCAAGCTCCGGTGTGGTTTGGTCCAGGCAGCTGCTTGTTGAGAGCACCAGGGAGCTGACTGCCATCACCCCTCCCATTGCCTCCAAGTCTCCGCCAGGGCATCCACACTCCCTTCTTCATTCTGCATTCTGTCTTACTCCCAAGAGCCAGATGAGTCCAAACACCACCTACAAATGAAGTGCAGTGCCTGGCTCCGGTGGTGGGTGCATCGCCCAGGAATACGGCCAACCCGATGGCTTTTCTCCTTGGCTCTTCTTTGGGCAGCTGGGTCCTGGTCCCTGGAGAGCAGCCCTGGGATTGTCCACCAGACTAAATTTGTTAATGTTTTTTGAGGTACTGTCTCATGTAGACCAGGCTGATCCCCGACTTTTGTAGCAGGGATGACCCTGAACTGACTCTCCTGTCCCCAATTTCTGGGTGCTGTGATTAGAGGTGTGTATGACCACACTCCGCTTATGTGACACTGAGGGTTGGATCCAGGGCCTCCTCCTGCATGCTAGGCAAGCTTCCACAACAGAGTCCCAGCCCCAGCCTCCTCCACCAATCACATTTAATTTCTCTCCGCCCACGAGGCACCTGCCCTAATCCACTTAAGCCTCCAGCAGCCTATGGTTCCTTTCTTGCTGTTCTGAAGGCTCTTCCTCTCAGAGGGTCCCCATTCCTCTTGGAGGGGCACATTGTTGGGAGCTGCCAGCCCAGGTCCTCCTTACTCAAAGCCAAGGTACAGTGACACGGGTTGCAGGGACAGGAATTTACCCAGCAAGGGCTCAACCCCTTTCTGGGTTGGAGAAGGGCAGGGGCATTTTGGGTAGTGTCCCAGAACTCTGGCCTGGCCAGCCAATTCTAGGTCCCTTTCTGACCTCCACCCACTCTTCACCGCCCTCCTTCAGCCTAGAATGCGGCTAGAATCTGAAGGACCTAGAGAAAAATAGGTCACAGGGCGGTGCCATGGCTCGCTCCCTGGAGAGAGGGCTTGGCCCAGAACAACTGCAGCATTCCTGAGGCCACCAAAGAAATGAGGGGGTGGAGTCTGGGACCTCAGTGAAACCACCCTCTGCTGACCAGGCCTCCTCTCCACACCTCTCCTTCACCCATGTTCAAGGGCTAATCCCAGTTAATTCTGGGCTTGGCAGCCCAGAGCCAGGCTTTAGTGAAGGAATTAGATCTTGAGTCACAGCTGGCACAAGGGAAGACAGGCCACCAAGGATGCTGTTGCTGTTATGAGCCACCAGAAAGTCCTCAGGTCTCTCAGACAGAGGGGTCAGCCAGGTGTCCTGCTCCTGCTCAGAGAGCCATGCAGGTGGATCCGGCAGTCATTTCTTAGCCTCGAAAAGGGGGCCCAGCAGGAAAACACCAGCCAGGTATGGGGTACAGGCCTGTTAGGCCAGACATTCAGGAGACTCACCCAGGAAGATCACAAGCTTAATGCCCTTTGCATCTGAGTTCAAGGCCAGCCTAGGCAACTTAATGAGACACTGTATTTAAAAAGGAAAGGGAAATATAGTTCAATAGTAGAACACTTGCCTAGCATTATGTGAGGCCCTAGGCTCAATTACCTGTATCACCAAGTAAAAAAGAGATTCCCTAAAACTGTGACCCCAGTACCCTGCAGCAGGCAGGCCCCTTGCATATCTGAATTTCTGACCTTGTGCCAGCCTTCCTGGGCCCCACAGTTCAGCTCCTCTCTGGAGCTTTCTTTGAACCCACTCCCCAAGACAGAAGAGTTTTCCGATTCTCAGAAGAGGCAGGAGGTTGGCAGAAAACCCAAGCTGGACAAGCGATGAGGCTCGTCCCGAGCATTAGGAGTGTCCTCACCTCCGTCCCGTGACCTCCCAGGAACAAGCTACCCCATCATGGCCAAGCTTCCCCCAGCTGCCAGAGTCCCAGACCTTCCCAGGGCTGCCCACACATGCCCATGCCTGTCTCCTGGCCTTATTTTCTACCTCTACCTCTGGTTCCCTGGCACCAGTAAAAACCTACTTGCTTGGGAGAAACACCTTGATACCCAAACTAAACACCTCACAAAATAGCCTTGGGTCACTTTTGAGCATAAGGGACAATTTGTATGCAAAAATATTGTAGATTAAAATGGAGGAATCAGAAGTAGTCAGAAGGGATGAGAGAAATTAGAAGTTGGATTAAGCGCACTTGAGTCTACCTTAGGAAACCAAGACCCGTTTTTACTATTTTGCCTCCCCAGACCAAGCACTCAGGGAATGCTTGTGTTTTCCTGACTCCCCTCCATCTCTGTCACGACTATTAAGCACATGACATAGGTTTTTTCCATGAACAGATCTTTATTGCTGTTTTGAAATAACTGAATTATCGACACAGGCTCCATGAGATTCAAGGACAGGAGGGAACACCATTGTGCAGTTGGGAGGACTCATGGGGAGGAATCCCAGAGCGGCTGTCACTCTCCTCCAAGTCATGGGGGCCTTAGCCAGGACCAGGCTCAGCTGAGCAGGCTTGGGGACCTGAAGGTGACTGAGTCACACCTCAGGGGATCTAATATTCCTTGAAGGTCTTTGCAGACCCTACTCTAGACTAGCAAGCTGCCCGCCCTCCCCCACCAGGGGCAAGGTAAGGCCCCTGCAGAAGGAGGGAGGTTGAGATCAAGTGTAAAGACTGGCCAGGCCCAATGACACCCTCCGAGGACATCTGCTCTCCACAACACAAGGCCCTCCCACCAATGCTGGGGCAAGGAAAGGGACTTCTTAGTGGGAGCCCTCCGAGGGCTCCTCCTCAATGAGCTCCAGGTCGAACTCATCCTCCAAGGGCCCCCCAACAGGCAGCATGCGGAACTTCTTCCCCTTCAGAGTGCAGGTACGGTGCTGGAAGTCCAGGACGGCGTTGTGGTCCTGCAGGACATCGGTGCCAATAATGGCCTCTTCTGCACTTGCGTTGGCCACCAGAAACTGTGCACTCAGCTTCAGCTTGCCCAGGGTCACTTCTGTGTCCCACACACCCAAGATCTTCATCTCTGCCCCGTTGGCCACTTTGACCACATTTTCAAAAGGCCGAAGGGTGTCCAGGTCACCATCAGTGACCTCCTCCCACAAGCTTGGGTGGACCACAGATACCTGAGCCCCAGAGTCCACCAGGAACCTCACAGACACTGAACCAATCTTTCCTTTAAGGTAGTAGCCCTTACCCATGCTGTTGGCAAACAAAATCTCTCTGGGTTTCTGACTGTGGGCCGTCCCGGAGCCCCCAAAGGCCCTCAGAAGAGCTTCCTTCACAGTACTGTAGTCACCCTGGGCCTGGGAATTGAGTCCATTGTAGACATCCAGGGCATCTCCTCTGAGTGACTCTTTCAGGAACCTCAGTTTGGTGGCATGGTCCCAGTGGTTAAGATCGTCAATGACTTCAAAGCGGTGCAGCCAAAGGCTGGGGACTATGTTAGCCCCGTTGAAAGGTTCTGGGATGAAGGCATGCTCCCGGTGGCCTTCCTGGCTTCTGGCTCTGCTGGTGGCCATCCCTCTACTCGCCGCTGGAAGTTCAGCAGTAGCACAAGCCAAGTAAAGAAAGACACAGAGCAGTGTGGGCGCAATCCCGCTGGAGAGCAAGGCCTCTGTCCACAGAGCTGTGTGCTTGCCCAGCCTGGGCAAGTTGAAGGGAGCAGGTACAGGGTGCCTTGGCTGCTGGACACAGAGGCAGGCTGTCTATGTTCTGCTTGTTCTGCACGCGGCCTTTTTGATGCCCAGCCTGGGCCCCCAGGGCTCCTCATTCTCCTTTGTTCTAGAAGCTCCACCCCCTGGTCCCGCCCTCCTGCCAGCATCTTGCCTGACTAGCAGGATGAGTGCCTCACCCTCGATATCCATCCGACACGTGACAGCAGCCAGCCCACCTGGGGAGAAAGGCAGTCTCAGTCAGCTGACGGGGCTGTGGGACCCTCCCCAGCCGGTAGCCCAGAAAAACCCAGATGAGGACACAGATGTAACGGCATTCTGGTGTTTATCCTTAGCCAGAGAAGGGGAGACAGGAAGCAGGTCTCCATCTGCTTCACAAGAGGGCACCCCTTTAACCTCACCCCTTACTGTTTGAGGTGGGCAAGAGAAGGCACTTGTATTTATTGCGCTCTTACTGTATACACTGGTCTCACTGTGTGTATTGTCTCTCACTGTATACACTGGTCTCACTGTGTGTATTGTCTTTTACTGTATACACTGGTCTCACTGTGTGTATTGTCTCTCACTGTATACACTGGTCTCACTGTGTGTATTGTCTCTTACTGTATACACTGGTCTCACCGTGTGTATTGTCTCTCACTGTATACACTGGTCTCACTGTGTGTATTGTCTCTTACTGTATACACTGGTCTCACTGTGTGTGTTGATCTCTTACTGTTTACACTGGTCTCACTGTGTGTATTATCTCTCACTGTATACACTGGTCTCACTGTGTGTATTGTCTCTTACTGTATACACTGGTCTCACTGTGTGTATTGTCTCTCACTGTATACACTGGTCTCACCGTGTGTATTGTCTCTCACTATATACACTGGTCTCACTGTGTGTATTGTCTCTTACTGTATACACTGGTCTCACTGTGTGTGTTGATCTCTTACTGTATATACTGGTCTCACTGTGTGTATTGATCTCTCACTGTATACACTGGTCTCACTGTGTGTATTGTCTCTTACTGTATACACTGGTCTCACTGTGTGTATTGTCTCTTACTGTATACACTGGTCTCACTGTGTGTATTGTCTCTTACTGTATACACTGGTCTCACCGTGTGTATTGTCTCTCACTGTATACACTGGTCTCACTGTGTGTATTGTCTCTTACTGTATACACTGGTCTCACTGTGTGTGTTGATCTCTTACTGTTTACACTGGTCTCACTGTGTGTATTGTCTCTCACTGTATACACTGGTCTCACTGTGTGTATTGTCTCTTACTGTATACACTGGTCTCACTGTGTGTATTGTCTCTCACTGTATACACTGGTCTCACCGTGTGTATTGTCTCTCACTGTATACACTGGTCTCACTGTGTGTATTGTCTCTTACTGTATACACTGGTCTCACTGTGTGTGTTGATCTCTTACTGTTTACACTGGTCTCACTGTGTGTATTGTCTCTCACTGTATACACTGGTCTCACTGTGTGTATTGTCTCTTACTGTATACACTGGTCTCACTGTGTGTATTGTCTCTCACTGTATACACTGGTCTCACCGTGTGTATTGTCTCTTACTGTATACACTGGTCTCACTGTGTGTATTGTCTCTTACTGTATACACTGGTCTCACTGTGTGTATTGTCTCTCACTGTATACACTGGTCTCACCGTGTGTATTGTCTCTCACTGTATACACTGGTCTCACTGTGTGTATTGTCTCTTACTGTTTACACTGGTCTCACTGTGTGTGTTGATCTCTTACTGTATACACTGGTCTCACTGTGTATTGATCTCTCACTGTATACACTGGTCTCACTGTGTGTATTATCTCTACTGTATACACTGGTCTCACTGTGTGTGTTGTCTCTCACTGTATGCACCAATGAGGTGACTCACACATTCTAAATTAAGTGTGGATTCCCTGGAGAGAGAAACAGAAGGGATTCCAGAGTCAAGAAATCTCAAGTCTATCACGGGTCTCTATCACCTGTCCATCACCTACCTGTCTATATCTCTACCTGTCAGTCTCCGTCATTTCTCATCACATAGCCATCATCCATCATGTATTTACCTATCTGTATCTTTATCTGTCTCTAAGATCTATCAATCATATATCTATCATACATGTATCTCTATCCTCTGTCATCTCTTTATTTTGCCTTTTAGAGACAGGGTCTTCCTGTGTAGTCCTGGCTAACCTTGAACTCACAGGGGCTCTGCCCCAGCCTCCCGTGCTATGATCACAGAAGCACACCCTCACAAGCATGGATGGAAATTGTTTCTGAGTGAGTTGGGACATTCCCCCACATAATAATTTTTTATAAACACATTCTACTGTGGTCATTTTCTTTGCCAGCCACTCCTAATTCAGAGTCAGCCCACTGTGGGGCAAGGCCTCAGTCTGTGGGTCCATGAAGACCCAGAAGTAGGTGGATACAAACATTGGACTTCAGTGAACGATGTCCTGAGTCCAGTAGCAGATTCCAGGTCTGAATGAGCCCCATGCCCAGCCTCTTGAGTACAGTATCCTCTCTCCCTGGTCTTCTTTCTTGCCTTCTAGAAGGCTTCCAAGAGCCCCTTCCTCCCATGCTCCAAGCCTTCTCTCATACACACCTCATCTGAAAAGCTACTGAGAACCTCACTAATTTGTTCTCAGTGGGAAACATCTGCAGTATGGGGCATGCCCCTGAAGAGGGCCTGGGAGGCTCTGGCTGGAGGAGATTACCATGGTGACACATTACCCTCTCCACTGCTGGGACCATGACAGTCTTGTCTGTTCCCCCAACAACCACAGAACAAATCTGTGGGTTCAAGGGCTCAAGTTGGCCTGTGTATGAGTTAAGGACTGTGAAGGGTTCCAGTTTTATGGCCGTTCAGATGTCATCTTCTCCAAGGAGCCATCTACGATATTCTGGCACGAGGACATACTTCTGGCTGAACACGTGTTCTGTACTCTCTTAGGCTTGTTCACAAGTCCTCCTGCAATGAACCAAGGCTGGAACACATGACATTGACGTTCATAATTGCCTCTGCTCCTCTAGAAACTTATCCTGGGACACAGAATGAATGGCCTGTGCAGGTCCCCAGTCCTACGTGCAATCACAGAGTGGGAGAGATTAAAGAAGGGAGGTCAGTGGGCACCTGTGGCTGTCGTGCCTGGCTGAGATCATGCCCCTGTCTCGAACTCCTTAGACTATTCATCACTCAGCACCTAGCTTAGGTCCCTGTCCTGCCTCTATTGTCCCAGGGTCCCCAACACTCTGCAAGCCCCTCAGCTTGTTCCTCCTGACACAGTGAGCCATCAGAGATGCATTTGGTTAACACAGTTCATCGCAGATGCCTGACTGAGGTGGGGCCAAGGTGGCATACCAGGATCCCAAGGAAGTAGAATGGATTGCTGGAACGGTATCAGGAGAAGGTGGGTCTCCAAGACAATTATGCAAAGAACAACACGTGTCCAGAGACAAGGCCCAGGCATGTACAGGACCAGAAAGCCCCTTCTGCAAAGAGACACTTCTGGATGGACTTGGAGCCCTGGGGATGAGTGTAGTCCCGTGGGCCAGGGCTTCCTAGCACCCCAGGATTTGTCGTCCCACACATCAGGTCCCCAGGAAGTGGTGATGAGTGAGGATGCAGCTGAGGGGCGCATGTGCACAGGTGGAAAGCTGTGAGGTGTCTGGGTCAGAATTCTCAGGCCACACTTCTTGATACAGAAGTCAGATCACCCGGTTCAGCACTGCAGCAGCCTGACACAAATGAAGACAGAATGGACGGGATGCTGGGAAGCCGCCCTGAAGACCCGAAGTCTATTGCTGGCCTCTATACAGGTCAGTGGACACGGAAGATAGTGAGGCAAGAGCTGACTATTAAAGGTTCAGGGAGTTTCTGAGTTGGTTGCTAAGCGAATTTGCAGCTTGAAATTGGGTGCAGTGGAGTAACGATACCACAGAAATTGGCAAATGCCAATTTTGGATCCCCCCCCCTTGAAAACCGATTTATCCCTGCATGAATTCACGTCAGTCTCCATCCCCACACTCAGTTACCACTTGGACCTTATAAAGGATCCCACCCCAGACCCCCAACTGCTCTCCTAGTCTCTGTGCTTGGGTGGCCATGGCTTGTGGCAGGTGGCTTCTGTGCAGAGGCCAGATCCTTTGCCCAGAGTCACTGGTTTCTGTGACTGCCAGCTGACTGCAGCTCCCATTTCTGGATAGTCGTGGGAACATCGTGCTCAAGCCCCTGGCAGTTTGTTAGGAACACCGGGAAAACTGGGGACCTAGGGGTAACAGGTGCTGCAGTGTGCTGAGACCCTAACCCGCCAGGAAAGGTGAGAGCCGTCTCCCGGAACCCAGGATCTCAAGAGTAATTATTGACCAGTATAGATAGGTATTGGGGCTAGGGTGGAACACCTTCATTATCACCGGTGAGTACCTCTGAGTGTACTTTGAAGCAGGCACCCTGAACTTGACCCAAGAAGAGACAGACCAGGACAATAAACAGGAAGGGCACAGAGAGCCTCCGCCCTCCGCCCCCTCGTGTAGCTTCTGCCCCAGCTCCTGGATTCTCTTAGCCATTTCTCTCTGGAGCAGAATTGCCAGCTTGACAGGAGCCCAGGACAGAGTTGCTCAGGTCCCCTGAAGGCCTTAGTGGGAAGTGGAGATACTCAATCCTGTTTTTATTTATATGTTTATTTGTTTTCCTTCTGAGACAGGCTATTACTCTGTAGCCCGGGCTATCCTGGTTCACTCTACAGCCCAGGTTGGCTTCAAACCTACAGGGGTCCCCATGTGAAACACCACACACAGCACAGAACCACTTTAAATGACTCCTGATTCCTGGTAACATCCGAGGAAACAGGCAGAGTCTGAGAGAGAGGCCTGCCTGAGTTCCACAGCACACAGGCAAGGGAGGCACAGGCTGTTTCCTGAACAAGACGCTGAGGACAAGTGACACCTTAGGAATGGTGGTGATCATTGCAGAGTCTGGCCTAAAGAAGGCGCAGGAAGGCGCCAGGCAATCCTAGGCTACGAAGGGCTCCTTGCAGCCCCTGTCAGACTGGGACTCAGGGCTTTTCAGG